GTACTAATACTCGACTCCGAGTCGGATAATCTTTCATTCTCTCTTTATATAGAGGATGATTAATAGACTTTTGTAGTTTGTTTTGTGTGAGTTGCAGCATTATTTGAATTAAAGGTACTAATGGGGTCTGATTAACTGCCTCTTCCTCTTGAGCTTACTCTAGAACCTACATTTCGTATTTAGATCTATATTTGAACTGCTGGTCTGAGTTCTTATGGTATATTAAATTGAAGGATGTTCCTTAATATACAGTCAAACAGCATGAAATGTGAATAACATCAATGACAGTTGTTCAGCAGTGCTCCAATTTTATTTACAACAATCCAATGAGTACGAAGGTGTGCCAAACGTGTGCCGATGGATATTCCCAAGCTGTGCCAAATCTAATTTCGGCACAATGTGCTGAGTGACTTACCCCTTGAAGAATTTAGACCTATGACGGGTAAGTTTCTGAAGGTCACCCTTGAGAAAGTTCTTTTGCTGGCCTACGCATTGGAATGGCAAATAGGTAGCTATGTCGTAAGTTTTGCGGAGCCAAAATCAGTAATGTTTGAATTTACATTTTAAATAGCAGTAGTTCTAGGTAAGTATTGGGTACCAATTACTCGTGGCGGGCTCGAGGTTAATGGGTAACAATTTCGATTGGAAGGAGCTAAGTAGGAAACTGGTTTCTGAAGCCTCCTTCTGATACTACTCTCGGACGGTTGACCAAATCCTGGCTGGGCAGGGGCAAGTAGCACAGGAACAGGAGGATAATAAGACTGGGACACAATGGCTGGAAATTGTTTGGAAAGGAGGGGATGGTCACATTAAACTCTAACATCAGACAAACGAAGGAATTCGTAGATCGCTTGCATGTAGGGAAGATCACGTGTTCCCAATACATCTCTTACTTCACGGAAGGTTTGTCTACCTCGGGCCACTAGGGTATCCAATAGTCGTGCTCTGGAGGCGTCATTACCCGGGCAATACCAAACTGCGTGATCGATGTCATCATAACCGGTTCTGCACCTACATATATTGCTGTCAACGAGGTTTATTCTATAGAGATGTGCGTCTAGCGAGTAGTGGTTGGACATAAGTCTTGACATCATTCGAATGAATCCCCGACTTACAACAGACCTTTGAACAACGCTCTCGAAGAAACATTTGGAATAATGGAATGTAATCACCGCAAATAGGCAGCTATAAACGTAAGTTGTCCAAATTTTGTTTCAGCAGAAATTCCCAAAGTTTCGAAAATTTTGGTTTCAAATGAAGAAAGAATTTTATGTTTGATTCGTCTATGAACAATGATGGCAACGCCACCACAGGGTCCATCAAGACGATCATTTCTATAAATGAAATAATTTGCGTCCTTCTTAACCTTATGGTCAGGTTTAAGGAACGTTTCAGTTATAACGGCAATATGCACGTTATGAACTCTCAAAAAGCTCGTCCTCATTATCTTTAAGAGATCGAGCATTCCAATTTAAAATATTTAATGCTTTAAAATCCATTACTGAATTTTAAAGTCATGACAATATTGTTTGCAAATTTTACTCCAGTTTGAATAGCATCAAACATGGAATTAGATTTAAGCATATCAGAAATCATATCAATCAATGATTTCTGTAAAAATTCCAGTTTAGGGGCAGTAATGCTTCCTTTGTCAAAATTGCCAAAATTTCCGTTAGAACGTTGGTTAGTATTTTGCAATAAACAGTTTCGGCGTGGCAGTCTGGCAATCACTCAATCAGAACAAATTAATTTTGTAATTTGTCCCTACGTTTCGGCTCTGATTAGGGCCTTCTTCAGGGGAACAATTGTTGGATTTGAAGCAGGGGTGTTATTTGTACCTACAGGTAGGAATGTAGAATTTGTTCCTCGCTGACCGTTGTTAACAGCAGAGGATTTTGTACCTACAATTTCGTTCTAAGCGTTTCCTACCTGTCGCTTAGAACGAGATTGTAGGATCGCTTTGCGAGTCTTACATTCCCGAAAATTGGATTTGTGGTTTTCACCACAATTTGAACATTTAAATTTCTTAGGATCTTCCTTCACAGGACAGTCGTCCTTTGCGTGAGAGGAATCACCACAATTCATGCATTTAGCTGGCATGTAGCAATTTTTAGTTCCGTGACCCCATCCCTGGCACTGGGTGAGGTTTTGGAAATTTCCTCCAGTCTTCCTGAAGTGTTCCCACTTCACTCGGACATGGAGCATAAGGCTAGCTTTTTCCAAGGCCTTAAGGTTGTTTAGTTCACTAGACTTGAAGTGAACTGAATAAAAATCATTAGAAATCCCGTTGCGCGAATCGCCAGGACGGGATTTCATTTTCATTTTGATTACTTAGAGTGGCACAACTCCAAGTAATTTTGCCAGTTCATCTTTGATCTGATCCAGGGATTCACCACTGGGCAGTCCTTTCATGACAACCTTGAACACACGCTCAGTTTTGGTGTCGTAAGTAAAAATTTGTGCTGCTTCTCAGTTAGATACTTGAGAAGACATTTAAATCCGCTCAAGGTTTCAGCCAATACACGGCATTCACCCCGACGTCCAATTTGTAATGAAAACGTAACTTTCACGAAGTTCAATAGTTCCATGCGAAGAGGATGGAAATGGGAAGTGGTTATCACAATAGGGGGAATCTTTTCCTTCTTGGCATTAAGCCGGGATAGTTTACTAGAATCTTTCCTGGATGATGGATCATTCTCATCATCCGTGAGCAAATCAAATTTATTGCTCAAATTAATTTCATCAGAAGGGGGATCAAGAGGTTGCCCTTTTCTTTTGAGGTTAGGCGCCATTGCGGCAGTAATTTTTTTTTTATCCAAATCGACTTTCAAGCAGATTACCATAAGAATCTGAAGGATCAAAGAGGAATTTTCCAAATCGATATCCTAGAAGGATTACCTCGAGTAGGGTCCAAACAAGGATCGAAGAGGAATAAGAGTCAAACAAGGTAGAAAATTTACAGGTATATTGAGCACTGAAAAGTGCTGTTTAAATTTGTTGTAGCTTTAGGTAGTAGTAACACTTTCTTCAGCAAAAAGCAAATCTATCCGCACGGAAAGAGAGCACGATGCGGACTGACCATCGCCTTCATGTTTGAATGATCTGCAAAGTGTTTGCTTAGAGTTGTGTAATTAACTCTGATATCGACATCAAAGCAGCCAGACATTCATGGTCGGGATTTAAGTCGAGGATAATACTGGTTGAAGCTTACCATCAAAAAAGATGGCTGAGCCCACCGCAAAAAAAAAACACACTTCAAAATCTATCTATCTATCTATCTATCTTCTATATATATAAAAATGAATTTCTGTCTGTCTGTCTGTCTGTCTGACCCTTATAGACTCGGAAACTACTGAACCGATTGGCGTGAAAATTTGTAAAAAAGGGTTTTTGGGGCTGTGGAAGGTTCTTATGATGGTTCGAGACCCCTCCCCTTTCTGTAAGGGGGGGCTCCCATACAAATGATACAGAAATTTCTGCATAACTCGAGAACTAATCAAGCAAATGGAACCAAATTAGGCATGTGGGGGCGAGTGTGGGGGTATAAGGAGATAATCATAGGGGGTAGCCCCTTAGATAATAGGGGGGGCTACGTACAATATAGCATGTTTTTTTAAATCGGCGCATAAACTCAAGCTAATATTGAATCCCGAGCAAGACCGGGCACACTCAGCTAGTTGCTATATAAAAACGATCAGTTGCTCATCCGCCCAGTGTCAAATTACCTCACTTTTTCGCCGACAATTAACCACTTCATTCGAGCAGTTAAAATGACATTTACTACCACTCGAACTTTGAAATAAAACATTATTTTGAGATTTTTTCTTCTAGAACCACGAGAAAAGTAGCCAACATTTGTGCGTTTCATTAAAAAATAGTAATTTGTTGGTCCAGTTTTGAGAAATCGCTGGTAGAAAGTTACGCCAAAACTGCTTGACAAAGTGGTCCATTTGATTGAAAACTGCCAGGAGCAGATAGAGCGGGATTTTCGTGTCGATCGCGACGTGCTTGCTTCGGTGAAGCTATGATGTAAACAAATGAACTTATCCTGACAATCAATGCCTAATGTGATTAAATACACTCTTAGCTTGATTAAGTAAGCTCAAAAAATGCTTTACTGGAAGCGTTTTTAATGTGTCCGGATTTTTTCGTGTTCAACCTTTATTATTGATCAAAATTATCTATAATCGGACAAAGATGACGAAACATGATTAAGATGACAATATGTGTGCAAAACAACAGGATTCCAATCTTTTAGTGTTGTCAAAACCTTAAAATCGGCTGGCAACAAATAACATCCAGCAGCACAAGGTAGATGCTTGGGAACGTTTTGTTTATTTTCTTAGCATTTGAGCGTTCATTGTGGGTCCAAGGTGTCTAGAAATTGTTCAAAATAATAAATGGAAAAATGACCTGTGTTTGTTTAGGCTGTGAACCAATTGCTGAGTAAAATTAAAGTCGTGATTGAAAGTGACATTTCGAAAGTTATTCTCTATATTCGAAAATCCTTGTTCTGTTGATCGACCAGTTTTCGAGAAGAACTCAGCCACTTTTGTCGAAATTTAACTTCTTGTCGGTCAGAAATAACCACGCGCGGATAGCAGGGTTAATCGATAACTTTCCATCTGTCAAATTAAAAAAAAATCACCAAATGGTTCAGAGCCTTACTTGCACTAAAACTGTTTTCTAGTAAAAGTGATGGGGTGACGGGCTTAGCCACACTTCCCCTACATGCGTTTACAGTGATGCCAGATTGATGCATTGAACTGCCTTTTAAATGTTTCAGAGTGTAATTTTAATTCCTTGGGTGAAACAAATTTGGCCATCATCCCATTAGCTCAATCACATCCGATCATAACCATTACCCGTTCGTATCTGTTAGCTTTTTCTTTATCTAATTGCTTTCCATGTCCGATTCGACGTTCAAGATTGATCTGAAATAAAAAATAAATTATCCCCCATCTAATCGGCAGCCAATTTTCCCTTCTTCTTATTTTCAGAATTCTTCGGAGGCAATACGAGTCGGTGACCCGAAAAATTCATCCCTCCTTCTGCAAAAACTTCTGTCGGATTAAAGTGATAAACAACAGTTGTTCGTTCGTGTTTAGGCTTCGTTTATAGTTTTTTTTTTTCTTTTCTTTCTCGTCCAAATGAGTAAAGAGATGTTGTTTTGTTTATTTTTGCGCTGACCTTAGTTTTAAATTTATGACAAAAATAAATAAAAAGTGAAATGTTACACCTACAAAAAAAAATCTTTGTTTGTAAAGTGGAACAATTCGATGGGAAACGTTTGGCATTATTAAAAAAAAGTAGAAAAATCGAAAAAAAAATAATTAAATCACTTAAGTTGACCCCCGAACTAAAAAAAAAAACACTAGAAGAAAAAAATATAAAACAAAACCGAGATGTGATGTGATGTTTAGGATGAGGAAAAAAATACAAGGAAGCTGTGGGAACAGCTTTAAAAAAGTGTTTATTGTGCTGTACATATTGAGTTACTGTAAAGTGTAAAACCAAGTATATAATTTAAAGTATAAATAAAAAAAAAACAGAGTAAGAAAGTTGATATAAGCTAAGGAAAAAGTAAATTAAAGAAAACAAAGTAAGGCAAATAGAAATACCTCTAACATTAGTTCAAACTAATAACATGAAAACAACAAAAGTGTTAAACCTTAAAATGTATCTAAATTAACCAAAAACAACAACAACAACAAAAAACAAAAGAAAACATCAAGAACAAGGTAAACACCTACACACAAGTGACGAATCAAACATATACGAAAGAAAAGGGGAGTTTGTGCGAATGGGAGCAACTAGAATGGGGAAGAAGCGAAGAGCTGTGTTACGTAGTAGCGGAAAAATAAAAGAAGAAGTGAGGCTTTTAGTCTCCAACCCAAAGACGTGCGATTTGCAGAGAATGTTAGGAAAAAAAAAGTATGAAACTCTCCCACAAACCAACGGTTTCGCATTTATTTGAGAAGTAAAGTTAAAATGAGAAAAAAAACAAAACGAATAAATGTTGTAAAACAAAACAAAAAAAAACACACAAAAATTCAGTAGACGAGATGATGTTTGTAGAAAAACATTCAGAAACAACACAGAAAAATTGCGACATACTGAAACAGAAACCCTAGTAATTCAGTAGAAGAGCACGACTCAAACAATGACATCTAATTTTCATCACTCGTTGACGTTCCCTCTGAGTAGATACTAAAACCAAAATGTAGTAAAGAAATTAATGAGAGAGCACTAAATTCGCCATCGTTGGACCCCCTCCCCTCCCGCAAACTTTGTCTAAATGTGTTTGTTTTTCTGTGCAAAGCTTGCTTACTTACACAAAACGGAAGAAGAATGAAGCAGAATAGCAAACGAGTACTAGAAAGCGAAGGCGAGTTAGGAGAAAGGGAACCGCAAATCCGAGGAACCGACGATAGCCGACCAGGAACGTTTGCTGTGATAATTATTTTCTTTTTTGGGAGATTGCGACCCGAATCGGCCATCCGGTTGGCGAGGAGTTTTGCGTGATCTTTTTCTCTCGAGCGGGTTGAGGAAAACTGTGCTAAAAAGAGACAAAAAAGAAAACACGGGACCTAGTCCGATTCAAACGAAAGAAGAAAGAAAGGGTAATATTCAATGATTAGGAGCTAGTTTAAGAAATTAATAACAAATAAAATGGAAAGAAAAGTGAAACTACGTAGGTACCTCTTATCCACAAATACACACACAAAAAAAAAAACAACACTATTTATCGAGAAAAAAAGTAGAATATTCAATCCCTGAACAAAGGGTGTAATTTTCTGTAAATGTTATGTTTCGTTCCACCCGATTAGCACGCGATTTGGCGCTCAACAAAAAATATATACCGAAACCGAAATGCTCTCAAAGCGAGATACAAAGTATAAAACGCTTACATATTCACTTTTTTGGCTATTGACACTTAATTAGCAAGCACACATACAAATCATCAGGTTTTCAAAATGCAGACGTAAAACTCAACCACTAGCGAAGGAGCAAACACCGCAAATCACATTTGAGTTCGTTTTGTCCGCTACCATATACTGATTAGAAAACACCTATTGGGAAACGCTGAGGATTGTACATATAATTTTGTATAGTTGAACATGTAAATTTTTGGGAAACCCCCCGGGTTTCACCGTTCAGTTGCGCTTTGTTTTTCTTTTCTTTATGTTTTTTTTTCTCTCGTTGGTTAGGCGCGCAGAAAAGGGATACATTACTATTGATACGAACTACTTCTGATGTCGAATGCTGATTGAGGAAAAAAAAAGAATGGCATTCTAACAAATCGAGGATGAGATTCTGACTTTCTGCCTTCTCACGATGCTCACTAAGCGAAATTGGCAGCATGAAGAAGTTTAATCATATCCTTTTGGCAAACAAGCAAATAGATACACCCCTACAGATTTTTTGTTTTAATTATTATTGGATCAATTGGAAGCTTCCTCCCTCCCTACATTTGATTTTATTTTTATATATATATACTTATATTATGTGTACAATTACATATTAATTTAATTTTTATTATTATTGCTATTATTACATTATACATTTACATGTTGAGGTTAGTTTTATTTTGTGTTTTATGCAAAGAAAAGATGGCGAAATATATTATTGTTATAATATTAATAATAAAACCAATACCGTATCGCTTTTGTTTCATTCGAAATTCTTATCCTTTTTGTTTGTCTTAGGTTTGCTTTAATTTTTATTATTCTGAAAACCACCTCCACACAGTGGGACGAAATCAAAAAAAAAATGGGACATGACCATTTGCGACGAAAATATTGAGTGTATCATTTTGATGTTTTCTAGAATGTTGCGTAATTTTTTGAGCACTTTGCGTGGTGGAATTTTGTGCTTAAGGAGGGTATACACTCAGATAAAAATTACTTTTTTATGTCTATGTCTGTAGATTAAGTCATGTTAATACTCCGAATACGGTGCCTCCGAAAAACGTGTAATAGCTAGTTTGCAATGGCATAACCTAGTCATACTTCTAGAATTCCTAGGGTCTGTAGATTATTTTAATTGTAAAAAAAAATTAAAAATGTGGTCGTCTACTTTATTCAAACGCGAAAAGAGTCGTCGCACTTTTTATTAAATGAGTGTTCAGTTGGTTTGCAAGTGGCCTAAGATCCATAAATTAGATTAATGGGCACAAATGTTCCTAATTAGCCAGAATACAGTCATGCTTCCTATATATGGATCCTGGAGAAAACGGAACGGTTATCCGGAATATTCGGAACATCCGTAAAAGTGATTCATCCATGAAACCAGTGTTGGGAAAATATCAAAAAATCAAATCTCACCAACGCCCAAGATCACGCTTGATTTCCGTAGACAAAAATCAACAAACAAACTACTGCGGTTGATTTTGCAAGCTGTGATATCGCAGCTCGGAATATCAAGCTAACAAAACTTACCAACTGCAAATCTCATCAAACTGTGGTGAGATTGAGTTTAATGATTTTTGCTTTACACCCGAATGCAACCGAAACTTCCATAACGGCTTGCAGCAGTCCTTTCGCGTCTGCCATCGGTGAAGATTAAAAAGAGATAGCAAACTATGTTTTCTTTTTCTAAAAAAAAACGATGTTCAATGGAATCATTTTTGTGTCGAGTCAACTCTCAGCTTGATTTTTGCACGTTGTGAATAGTCTCGCAATATCAAAGGAGCTTGTAAAATCAATATCAAGCATGATATTTTGTTTCAATATCACGCGTGATATTGCGAGCACATGAGAGCGGAAAAATATCAATTGATTTCTGATTTTGCCAACACTGCATGAAACTGATTCTAGAGCTCCGCGGTTTTTCGAATACACTAGTGACTGTGATATAAGAAATAATTTAGGGTCGTGAAATAAACATGGTCCCGAAAGGCCATGAGACCGTCCTCCGGAAGATCCGAAAGATCCTTAAAAGTGGTCCATCCATGGAAATGATCCTAGAGCTCAGCGTTTTTTTTTCTAAAAAATTAGGAACTGTGATATAAAACGTGGAACTGTAATTTACGAAAGAATTTTAGGTCGTGACATAAACATGGACCCGGTAGATTCGGAGCATCTGTAAAATTGGTTCACCCATGAAACTGATTCTAGAGCTCAGAAGTTTTTTTTTAAATTTAATATCTTGGAACAGTGAAAAACTAAGAAAAAACAAATAAGTCGCAACGTAAACATGGACCTGGATGGGCATGAGACCGTCCTCTGAAAGATTTGGGACATCCTTAAAAGTGGTAAATCCATGAAACTGATCCTAGAGCTCCGCAGTTTATTTAAAATGAAGTAAGAAGAATGAATTTGGGGTCGTGACATAAATATAAACCTGGATGGCTATTGGACCGTTATTCGGAAGATCCGGAACATCCGTAAAAGTGTTTCATACATGAAACTGTGAAAAAGAAACCATGTTTTTTTTTCGAAAACTCAACAGTTCGAAGTGATCTCGAGAAAACCGCAAAGTTCTAGAATCTGTATTATTGATGCACCTATTTAAGGATCTTCCGGAAGACGGTTTCATGGTCATTCGTGTTCATGTTTATGTTACGACTTCAAATTATTTCTTATATCACAGTTCCACGTGTTTTCGAAAAAAAAGGTGGATCTCCTGGATCAGTTTTATGGATTGACCATTTTACCGATGTTCCAGATCTTCCAGACGACGATCCCATGGCCATGCAGGTACATGTTTATGCCATGACCCAAAATTCTTTCTTATATCACAGTTCCTAATGTTTTTGAAAAAAAAACTGTGGAGCTCTAGGATCAGTTTCATTGGTTGACCTCTTTTCCGGATGTTCCGGACCTACCAGAGGACCACATGCCGTGGACTTGCAAGGACCATTGCAAAGATCCTTAGATAACTTGTCGTCTTGGGCTAGGAATCTATTGATCGAATTCTCGCCGCAGAAAACTGAACTGGTATTGTTTAGTCGAAAGCGGTACCCAGCCCAAATGCAGCTTAATCTTTTGGGCAGAAACATTACTCAATCATTGTCTTTCAAGTACCTTGGGGTCTGGTTTGATTCAAAGTGCACTTGGAATACCCATATTACGCAAAAATGTCAACAGAGGATCAACTTTATCCGTTCAATTTGCGGCACATGGTGGGGTGCGGTAGACCTCATAACGCTTTATAAAACAACTATTCTCTCTGTTCTAGAGTACGGTTCTTTCTGCTTTCGCTAGGCGGGAAAAAGTCACCTTATAAAATTGAAACGAATTCAATATTGTTGTCTGCGTACTACTCTCGGCTGTATGCACTCAACGCATAACATGAGCCTCGAGGTTCTGGCAAGGTTAAGCAAAATTTCATTATCATTTTTCACATCATTTCCATCTGCTGGTCGACCGTCACTTAAATTCATAAATTACCATTTAGTGCGTCAGAGTACCTTTTCGAGTTGGCAATCCGATTGAAGAATTTTCGTTAGGTCCCAGCAATGTCTCTGAAGTTATCCAGTACCATACCATCCAGCATGTACTAATTTGTAGTACAGGAAGCCATTCAGTACCATACCATCCAGAATGCCTCATAAATCAACTATTGCATACTTCACGGCGTAAATGGAGCAATTGTGCTAAATTAACTTTTAAATCAAAATTTACAACCATTAATGATATTACATATAATTTAACCATGTATGGTGGGAAAACCAGTGACAAACCATTCCAGTTCTTCA